GAGGACCACTCCCATTTCTTGCATGAGGTCCCGTCCCCAGAGGTTAATAGGGAGGCCAGGCAAAACATATGGCTGGAAAAGCCCTGTGTGGCCTTCAGAGTCTTGCCACTTTAAGATCCTGAGGCTTTTTTTGGGGCACAGCCTGTCCTATTCCCTGGAGGGTCACTGTCCCTTCCTCTTTCGGCCAGGCAGGGGGCCAGAATTTATCTGAGAGGACAGAGAAATCTGCCCCAGAATCTAAGACGCCCCTAAAGGACTTGCCTTCTATCTTTAATGTAAGCTGGGGGCGGTTCTCCATAGTGGCTACCCAAAATGCTGCCGGGCCGGTACTTCCAAAACCTTGGTTGCCCCTTTTCTCTTTAATTTTTCTAGCCTCACAAGGAGCTGTAGGGAGAAGGAGTATCTGAGCAATCCGTTCTCCTGCAGGGATGGCAACAACCCCACTGCCCACTGATGTCATTATTTTAATCTCCCCCTCACTATCCTGGTCTATAACACCAGGGTGTACCTGGATGCCTCGAAGAATAGTACTGGACCGTCCCAAGAGTAGTCCGACCATGCCTGGAGGCAATGGCCCATGCACCCCAGTAGGGAGGGCCTGGATCCCCATTTCCGGTGTTAGGATTGCCCGGGCAGAGGGAGCGAGGTCCAATCCTGCACTCCCTGAGGTGGCTCTAAGGAGGTCTGAGATATGAAGGGGTTGCTCTGGGGGAGAAAATGAGTCCTGCCACTGCCCAGAGCAGGGGTCATTGCCCCGTACACATTGGTTTTGGGGCCCTGGGGCGGGGCCCTCCTCCCGTTTCCCTGATTATTATTAGCAGAAAGGAAATTTCCCTCCCTGTCAGTTTTAGAGTAGCAGTTATTGGCCCAATGATATCCCCTTCGACAACGGGGCATAAACCAGGTCTCTTGAGACCCGTAGTACTATTTTGAGGGCACTCTCTACGGAAGTGTCCCTCCCTACCGCAGCTAAAACATGTTTTTCTCCCTCCCAGAGTAGGTCTTTCTTTCCCCACTTGGGGCCGAATAGCAGCAGCTAACACTTGGCCCTGGATGAAGTTCCCATCAATGTCCCTACAGATCCGGATATAGTCATTTAGACTTTTATTGCGATAGGGGCGAAGGGCTTCCTTACAATATTTATTTGCATTTTCAAATGCCATCTGCTTTATGACTGGCATCGCAGGCCCAATGCCCCCAAATATTCTTTCTGCTACCTGACTGAGATGGTCTACGAAGTCTTGAAAAGGTTCGGAAGGTCCTTGAAGGACTTTGGACAGATGATCCCCTCCTTCCTTGGAAGGCAATGCTTTCAAGCCCCTTGGGCCGCTGCTGCCACTTGGGCATAGACTGCGATGTCATATTGTATTTGTTGCTGAATGGTGGCGTATTGACCACTCCCGGTAAGCATCTCCACATTTCTCTGGGGCTGTCCGGCCTGTGCATTCCTTTGGGCTGTCTGGCTGCATCTTTCCTGAAACTCACCTCTCCAAATCAAATAATCTCCCCCCGACAGAGCTGCTCTGCAAAGCTGCTGCCAATCGCCAGGTGTCAAATTAAGAGACGCAAAAGATTCCATTAAGGAAAGTGTAAAGGGAGCCTGTGCTCCATAATTTAAAGTTGCCTCTTTCAGTTGTTTTATATCTTTGAAACTTAAAGGGTCATGGCGCCGAATGACCTGTCGAGAATTGTTCGGGTCTGGAACTTCCATTACCGGGGCCACCACCGGGCAGCATTGGACCCCTCCTCTGGGTCTTCCCTCCAGGTCCAAGAAGGACTGGGTTATCTCATAGGAGGAGTCCCTTTTTTCAGAGTATGGGGAAGGGTTTCTCTCCCTGTCCTGTCTTTCCTTAATTAGAATCTTTTTTAGTTCTTTTTTAAGGGCCGCGATCTCAGCAAGTAACCGTTCCTTTTCAGACTGTGACAAGTCTGAGTCTGAGCTACTTCCATTTTCTAGGTCTGATAGAGAAGGATATAACCGATTCTGACCGGAGTCCTTCTTTTTGGGTCGTGCCCGGAGATCTCTACCCATTTTTTTGTTGTTACTAAGAGACTCCTCCTCATCCTCACTAACAATGGAGCCTCTAGTTTCAGTCACGGTCTCTTCATCATCACTCTCTGCCCCTGAACTCAAGGAGGCTTGAGTCTCAGTCTCTTGTAACTCTAAAAAAGCCTCTTTTGTGTCCTGAACTACCTGGTGGTGACGAACCTTATCTGTCAAAAGTGCTCCCCTCACTAATCTCCATAAGGAGAATGTCGTAGGGGGCAAGGACTCAGATCCCTCTTTTCATAAAAGTCTATGAAGATCACGGCGAACCTCCTCCCAATCTGGAATATTTAAGCTTCCCCCAGTAATGAACCATGGACTGGCTCGTTCGATGGATTTTAGAAAGCCTTCTAGGGTTTTAGACTTGACTGCAGTCCCATGTTCTTTAAGTAACTTTTTTAGTTGATACTGCAATGATTCTAGCTTCCCAGAACTATTCCCCATAGTTTCTTAACCCCGTCCACTTACCTCGCTTTCACGATCTCGGTGGGACCTCCAATTGTCACGTCTGCTGCGCGGCCTGTGTCCGAGAACGTGCGGAGGGTGTCGGGTATTGAAAACACAGAGACTCGTTCAATGATATAAAGAGAACTTTAAACAGGCTCCAAAAAGGTTCAAGAAAACCTCCTAAGAAAAGCTCCCACCAGAGAAGCTTCTGCTCTCTCCTCTACCCTCGCTGGTTCTGCTCTGACCCAGAGGTGGATGTGTGTGGGTTTTTGAAGGTGCGGTTAGTCTCTGGACAAGGTCGAGGTCAGGGCGGTTTCCGTGGGAAGGCCTTTCCCAGGAACTTATTGTATCATTTTTAGTAAACATGTTTTTACTAAACATTGTCTTACAGCTGCCTACTCCCAGGCAGAAGGGGAAGTGGCCAGGAACTTATTGTATCGTTTTTAGTAAACATGTTTTTACTAAACATTGTCTTACAGCTGCCTACTCCCAGGCAGAAGGGGAAGTGGGTCTCTGCTCAAGGTCTGGTGTTCCCACACTAACTGACTCATCTCCCCACCTCCCAAGCCCTACCTGGAGTCTATGTCTTGACTGAAGACGAGAGACTACATGGGACTTAACAACCTCAGACGATTATTCGGTGTACATTTTTTAAAAAGATTTATTTATTTATCACATATACAGTGTTCTGCCTACATGCCAGAAGAGGGCACCAGATTGAATTGTAGATGGTTGTGAGCCACCATATGGTTGCTGGGAATTGAACTCAGGACCCCTGGAAGAGCAGCAGTCAGTGCTCTTAAACTCTGAGCCATCTCTCCAGCCCGATGTATAATTTTTTAAAGATTTACTTATGTTTCTTTTATGTGCATGAACGTTTTGCTGCTTGTAATCTGCATATATGTGTGTGCATGTGTTTGGTGCCGACAGAGGTCAGAAGAGATCATTGGATCCCCTGTAACTAGAATTACAGGTGGCTGTGAGCCACCATGTGGGTGCTGGGAATCAAACTCTGATCATCTGGAAGAGCAGCCAGTGATCTCAACCGTTGAGCCATCTCTGCAGCCCACCAAGGTGGTTATTTGCATTACTGTTAAGTGAGAACGTTTGTCTTGGCAGCAGTGCATGTTTGCAGAGAGAAGAGGGTTTGCTGTGTAGCACCAGAGGCCGCAGGTACCTCCCTTGGGAGAGGAAGAGATGCTGGGGATCTCTGGGACACCTCACATATAGCTCCTAAATCCCAGGAAGCCTTAGCACCATCGTTGGTTTTCAAGCCCTTTCATGGCTGCTCTCACTCACAAGGAATCATTTTCTCTGTCGAAAAGAACTGCCAAAGGAGAAATGTATCTGGTGCTGCTTCCAATCAGAACCTCACAAGCTCCATTCCAACCCCTTACCTATCTACTTTGCCAGGTTCAGGGACTACCTAACAGCCTCCCCAGGTACCCAGCCTCCAGCCTCGTGATAGCGGATGTCAAGTGCCTGGAGGCTAAGCAGCTCACAACACTGTAGAGATTTAGCTCAAAACCTGTGAGTCAGCCAGCTCAACCCCCTCATGAATGGCTCTGCAGAGCAAAAGTGACTTTACCCACTTAGTCCCTGTTGATTTCCTGTGGATTCTCTAAGAAACCCAATCCCCTTCCACTGTTCCTGCAGCTGAGGTGTCAGAAACGGTCTCCCCATAACGAAACCAAGACAAAAGTCCCTGTCCACATAGCTCCCTCTGCCTCGGCTTCTCCTCTTCAGAGCCCCGCCCCTCCCCCGTGACCCCTCTGAGCCCACTTATGGTATAGGATCTTCTCCTTGCACGAAGAACAGATAGTCAGCACTAACGGTTCTCTTTGTCACGCTCTCTGTCTTTGCCAGAAGGCTACACTCATGGGTTTGTGTGGATATTGAGAAATGCCATTTTTGAGGGCAACTTTTTTTTGCCTCCCAGGATCTTGGACCTGACTATAATCTTTCAACCTGCTTTGTGGGTCAGATCTAACAAATTAAAAATACGCAACGCCCCACCTACCATTCAGTGTGGATTTTTAATGTTAAGAATATCCCATTTACTGCAGAATCTCTTTTAATGTCCCTGAATGGCCTGTGTTGCAGCTGCCAGGTTAAAGACAGCCCAGGGTTGCCCATAGGAAGGCAACCATCCAACCACAGAGACACGATTTAACTCTAACTGCCTTTGGGACAAGCAGGTGGTCTACAGCAGCCACGGATGGCAGCTTGGAAGCGATGGATGACATGAACTCAAAGACAGCTTGTGCTTTCTGTGGGTCTTGGCTTGGTCTGGGCCTCCAACTCCCTGACCTTGTCCTGACCTCCGATGCAGCTGTTATTTCAACTCAAATGCTGCATGCTGGCTCCTAACACATGAACTAGATCTTATTTCCTGGCATGAGGAACAGATCAGGGCCCCCTGTCTTCACAGTAAATGTTCTGTGAGGTTCTTGCCTGGCCTGGTTCTGCAGCCACCTCAACCCCAAACAAACACACAGATGCTATATCAGTTGTAAAACTATTGGCCGGTGGCTAGGGCTCCTTATTGGCTAGCTCTGTCTTAATTATTAACCCATTTCTGTTCATCTATGTATTTCCATGTGGTCTTATCTTACTGGGGAACTCCTGGTGCGTCCTATCTTCCCGGGCCCTACATGGTGACTCCTTCTGCCTACCTTCCCCAGAATTCTCCTCGTCTCCTAGTCCTGCCTACCTTCCTGCCTTATTGGCCAACAGTGTTTTATTCATCAACCAATAGGAGAAACGCATATGCATGGAAGGACATCCCCCATCAAGTACACCAGAAGACTGGGGAAGCATGGTTAACTGTTGCTGCCTTGAGTACAGCTTTATCTCCCTGAAGATATGTGTGCTGGTGACACTCAGAGCTCAGGAGTCCTCACCAGCCCTCTCTGAAGCCAGATTCTAACAGCCCAGCAAATGGCTCTTCCCATGCTTTGGAAACACAGAGAAGGATGGCCACACGTCACCGGTGTCCTGGCTGCCAGGCCAGTTCACCATGCAAGGGCACGAGGAGATGTTTATTCTGAAACATTCCAAATGTATTTCCACAGAGTTCCCACGTGCTCATCCTCTAAAAAGATATTTTGGTGACCAGCCATTGCACCTTCTTGGGGTCTTCTGGGGGTTAGCCTTCCATGCTCGACTTTTCTGGGTCCCCCTAGCTAAACTCAGAGGAAGCAGAAACGGAGTTTCCACAGGCCGAAGGGCACAGTTCCCAACCACAGCCTGAAAATTTAGTCAGTGTGGACAGATTAAGATGAGGCCAGTGTGCTTCAAGTTAGGTGAATGCTTCCAGTCCAGAACACACCACAGCAGCTCGGGGAACCGGCAGTTTGGTGGTTAGGAAGAGGGACGGTTAAGTGCATCAGTTGGTCCTGGAGCAAGGACTAAAAGCCAGGCAGACTGCAGGCTGTCGGCTCTGGATGCCCCCTCTTCTGTGATTTTCTTCCTCTCTTCTTCCTGCTCTTGCAAGAAGAAGGTAAGTGTGAAATGGTGAAAAGATTCTCCATTGGAAACACCCTGTTACACCTTACCAAGACAAGTAGGTCCTCTTATTCACTGAGCACCCTTTCTATTCCCACCTTAGAGTATTCCAGGTCCCTAAAACTGCTTCTCACTCCAGTGTCAGGTATGAGTTTGAACCCAAGCAGCAGCTCTGCCACACAGAACCCTGAAGGAAAGTAGCTTATACCACGCCCAAGACTTTGGTCAGGTCTGAAGAGCATCTCAACTGGCGTGAGGCTCGTGGACTATTATAGACCTTGTACAAATACCTGCTTGTTCATGAGCACCTACAGTGTGCACAAAGCACCCATCTCATGCATTAACACCTACTGTGCACATGGAAACTTACTGCGTGCATGAGCATCCTATTGGGTGTATGAATGTTTGACACATGGATGGATGTCTGCTGTGCTCAGCTGTCACAGCAGAAACAAAGGTGTGGTGTGTGCCTGGAGGTTGTGGCCCTACGTCTCAAGCCTAACATGATATCTTGGCCTCTCTGGTTGGACTCTGCACCTGGAGACTCTTGAGTGGTCCAAGGAGGACACCCACCCATCTAACACATTTCTATCACCAATATGTATTAGAAACAGTTTCGTTAGAATATCAAACTATAGGTTCCCTATAATCTACTTCTTAATCGTCTTGCTCTCAACTGACTTGTGTGGGTCACCTTCTCACACACAGGGTCAATGTGAGTGTGGTCATCTCTAAGGCATTTCCTCCGCCATAGCTTCTGGGCTGTCATTACCAGCGAGGACAGTCAGGCACCGTGTGAACTGTGGCAACACAACTATGTGACAATAAAACTTTATTTACAAATGTGCTGCAGGTCAGTTCATTCTGAGGATAATACGCCTCCCAAAACTGTTTCTGATCAGGGGCTCTCACTGGGGTGATATGTGCTTCTGGGGGAGGTTCGGTAATGTCTAGAGATGTTCTCTATTATTATAATTAAGTACATTGTGGAGAGGGTGATAAAGGGATCCCAGAGGTGGGATGAGGATTCTCCTAAATATCCTCCAGTACACTGGATACCCACTTAGAACTCCCTACCCTAGGTGACAGAGAGTCCTAGCCAAGACCCTTGTGCAAAGCCACGCATTAGGATGCGGCTATGACCAGGCCTTTGGTCTAATCTCACACATCTCCATCTGTCTCCCCCAGTGAACCTCAAGCTTTTCATTGAGGTAAAAATGAGCATCACTGAAGAGGGTTATGAACATGTGCGAGCATGGCTAAACGCACATACAAAGGCCCCCTGTGCACTGGTAGCCATTCGGGCTGGGATGGAGCCATGGACTTATGTATCTTTGCACCTAACCAAGAAGCTATCTGCTGCTAATATTAATACCCACTGGCAAAAGGGTGAATCAACCACACTTCAGGGCAGGCACTGTGCCCAGGAGTAGTTGGCCAACATAAAATAAACCTGGTGGTATTTTTTTGGGGGGGGTTGTTTCATTTTGCTTTGTTTTGGCTTTTTTTGTCTTGTTGGTTTTTTACTTGTTTGTTTTGGTGTGTGTGTGTATGTGTGTGTGTGTGTGTGATTTTGGGGGGAGGTGTGTTTCTTGGGGGGTCTTTTTGTTTTGTTTTTGAAAGAGAAAGAAAAAACAATAAAGCTGGGTAGATGGGGGGGTACGGATGATCTGGGAGTAACTAACTGGGAGAGGGGGAAAACATGACCAAAATATATTGTATGGAAGAATGTAAAAAAAAATTCCAGTATATTGCCCTGAAAGGTGCCAACATAGAAAGAATATGCTTTTTATAGAGATGCTTCAAGTAAGACTGCGGAGACAGCAGGGAGCCATGGTTTCGTGACCTAAGCACGTATGACCAAATAGTGGCCTCTCGCTTTTCCTAACCATAAACCTGAACTTCTCCAGGAATCTCTCAAGAAACTCCATCGAAGGTCAGGATTTCACTAGGCCCAAGATAAGTGATAAATGGGTGTTTATTGGGGGAACACTTAACACGGAAAAATACAAAGAACCGCGGGAGCACTTCTCTGCCCATCTTACTGGATCGGCTGACCCAAGAGAAAGACCCGTGCAAGCAAGACCACGCCTCACCCTTCCCTCTCTCCACTTCCATCCACCTGAAGCCACACCCAAATGGGTGTGGTCACCACTACAGGTTCACAGGCAAGACGCCTACACTCCACTTGCAGCAAATACCTGCGCAACTCTTGCAACCTATGGTTTTACGTTTTCAGCAGTCCTGCTGAAGGCACTTCAAGGACCACCTTATAATCACATTTACTGAAAATGTCTTATAAAAGAGATTAAAAAGGGAAAAAGTCCTAATTAATTTGAGATATGCCTTCAGAAGCCAACCAAAATCGTATACATGGCTGCTGTGTAGACACTTCAGCAGGTTGGTCTCTTGAGGAGCCCACATCCACCCTTGGATGTGCCTTGATCTTTTTTTTTTTTCTGAATACACTCGTTCTATTAAAACTTTTGCTTGGATTTATATCAGAATGTCCTCCTAATAAATTCTGACTCTGCTTCATTCTAACTCATCCTGACATTCCTTTCTGCAGCAAATCAAGTATCGTGGCTTTACCCGAGAACGGGTCTGGAGAAAGGATCTGGGCTGCTGCAATCCACAGTATGGAGCTCTGATACCGGAAGGTGTCTGCTCCACTGCCTTGATATTCTAAAGAGTGTTCTCATCAAGCCAGGATCACTAGTGTAGAGTTTCGCCCAAGTTCCTTCCCTCTGGATAAATGGCCACGTCTGCCAAATCTCCATCATGCTACCAAAATAACTGAGATAATCAAGTTAAACAGAAAAAGGTTTATCTTAGCTCACGGTTTCAGAGGCTTCAATTCGTGGTATTTTGGTCCTGTGGCTTTAGGAGGGTGCAGAGTGTGTACAAAGTGGAAGAGACTTGACCAAGATGTGCCGTCACCAAAGGCATGTCCCCAGTTGACCTACTTCTTTGAATCAATCCTCACCTCCAAATAGCCCCTTCAGTACCAACTCATCAATGGATTAATCCGTCAGAGAACTTGGCACCTCAAGAATGATTCACCTCTCAGAACGACTAGCTGAGGACCAGGTTGTCAGAACTTGAGTTTGGGGAGGGTACTTCCTGTTACACCACAGCAACATTGGTACCTGGTGAGCACTGTAAGGAAGTCATTGGGAACACTGGTAGGAAGTCCTTGTCCCTAATCCTTGAGACACAGGCGAGGCCAGTCACCATACAATAACAAGATCACACAACCCCACGTTTGAACTGCCCATCCCCATGGCTCACCTGATTATTTTATCCAGAATTAGCATGTGACTCAGCCTCTAATTGCCCTGCATAATTGTTCAATCTCATAGTAACACTTTAATTTGTAAAGCAAAAATAACCATGTGATTACCCTGCAATTACATGATAGTTACTAATCAATTACTTCTATAGAATTTCTGCGTGTTTACAGACTGGTTAATGCCCACATACCCTTTCCCAGAACCCTGTTCCCTGAGTGTCCAGATGACATCCACTCGCTCACTGAATCCCATCTGTTAGTAGCAGAATCCAGTTTGGGGTTTTCTGTCAAGCTCTGGGCCTGTGAGTAACCGTTCCTGCATCCCCTCTCTACCCCCTCTTTTATACCCTTATCCAGAGCCTGAGATTATGGAAGCATTAACACTGCAGCAGTGGGCGGCGGCAGCGGGGCGGTGGCGGGGGCTCCGTTTAGCCTGCAGCATCAAGGACTGACCATTCAGCTCAAATGTGAAAAGTGTTGTCAGCAAGACAGGAAGCTGAACCCATTTAAACCCAAAACCTCCTCTCTGCACCTCCTCCGACTGCGGTGGGGGTAGATCCAGAGACCATAGTCCCTTCAACAAGTAGGAACTAAGCTTCACCTGCCTGTGCTTTCCCCTGGAGGATCAGCGATGAGTATCTGGCTCCTACATGAGTCCCTACATGAGCAACTACCAACAGGAGTTAGAGAGATGGTTAAGCCATTAAGAGCACTGGCTGCTCTTGCAAAAGACCCCAGTTAGAGCCCCAGTACTTACAAACGGTGGTTCACAACCATCTGTAACTCTAGTTCCGTTAGATCCAACACCTTCTTCTGGCCTTGGAGGGCACTAGGCAGGCACATGGTGCAAAGAAATCCATGCAGGCGAAAAATCAATACTCATAAAACAAACATTAACCTTGCCAGGTGCAGTGGCACAGGCCTTTAATACCAGCACTTGGGGGGGGGGGAGGCAGATGTGTCTCTGAGTTTGAAGCCAGCCTGTTCCAGCTTAACCAATGCTAATAGCGAGACGCTGACTCTAACATCCAAAATAAATAAATCTTTTTAAAAAAAAAAAAAGAAAAAGAAAGAAAAGAAATACCAACAGGCGTTGCCTAGGTTACAAAGTGACTACAAACAGGGATAGAACTACAGAGCACAAGTGTCCAGACGTGCAAATGCCCCTCCTTTCTCCTCATAATTAACTCAAGACACTGGTGAGGATGAGAGTGTAGGCAGAATGGACTCCCAGGTCTGGACGGCAGAACTACGACAGCACAGAATGTGTTTCATGTAGCCACGCCTGAGTGGGAGGAAACCAAGGTCTCCTTGGTCTCATTTGCCAGATGAGAACACTGGCAAAAGAATAATTAGGACCACGTAATGGGTCTTTGTTGCCTTGAGAGGGTAAGTCACACCTATAGAACAATCCCACACAGGTTCAGGGGCTAGAATCATGCAGGGACCTCCACTTTCCTGGAGTCCACAGGGTCCCAAGATGGATCCTGAGATAAGATCTACATGGAAACCCTGAACCAGCCTCAGAAAAGTAATCAGAAACACAAGAGTCAGCAGAGGGCCTTGGCGAGATAACCTTAGCCAGCAGAGGGCAGTTGGCAGGGTAACCTTAGCCAGCAGAGGGCAGTTGGCAGGGTAACCTTAGCCAGCAGGGTAACCTTAGCCAGCAGAGGGCAGTTGGCAGGATAACCTTAGCCAGCGGAGGGCAGTTGGCAGGGTAACCTTAGCCTGCAGAGGGCAGTTGGCAGGGTAACCTTAACCAGCAGAGGGCAGTTGGCACAGGAATCTTAGCCAGCAGAGGGCAGTTGGCAGGATAGCCCTGCAGGAGGGAAGGCAGTTGGACAGGATGGTGGAGTAACATTAAAGAAAAGGATGGCTAGGGAGTCAGTATCCAGGACCTCAGGATGGGCTGAACCACCCAGTAGACACTGTACTCCAACACCCTTCTGCGCTAGACAGAGCTGACACTGAGTTGAGGCTGCAGCCCAGGAACTGTGGACCATGGGGAGGGGCTCAGGACCAGCTCCACCTGTTCTGTTTAGAGCTGTCCACTCTGGTCTGGCTGCAAGGGGGTACTCTGTTTGGAAAGTGCTATGGAGCCATTCCCAGGTGCGCACAGGCCAGAGATAAATGAACCCAGGATAACCCTTGTTGAGCCTCCAGGCTCTTTCTAGTCACCCCTGTTTCCTCCGACAGCTTCGGGAGGAGGCAAATGAGGCAGGAACAGACAGAGAGAGGAACGGTTGCTGCACACTGTAAGGCTGGCTTGGGTCTTCTCTCAAGGGACTCCTGTGCACACAGAGGGGGTGATTTTAGAGCAGGCCGTAAATGCTGTGTAAGATGTGGGCATGCATACATACACACGAACATACGCACATGTGCACACGCAGACGTACACTTGTGCCTAAAGCTGCGTCTTCTGTGCAAACTGGCTTTCCTATTAAAGGGTGTCTATCCACAGAGCCCCTATTTTAGATCAATATGTAAAGTAGGTACCTAGCATAGCTGGCACTGAGCACGCTGGTCACAGCAGCCCAGAACCCCACGAGCCAGTCAAAAAGGACCCTACAATCATCCCTCACTCCGTGCCCCACAGGATCAGCAATGCCATCTTTTACGGCCCATGCTAGAAACCAGGAGATGCCCAAGTTTCACCTGAGAAAGTGACAGCCTTTGAACCCGGTGTCTGATGTAAAGAGCAGGGCTGGGATGAATCTGGTGCTGGGTTCGGTCACCTGCAAGGAGATCACTTGGGCATAGGTAGCTTGGACCGTGAGGGGTGCCACGTGAGGCCAGAGACTCACTGCAGCTCAGAGCAAGGACCATAGACGAGAGAGAAGACAGCTTTGGAAGAGTCTGGAGCACCCACTGCAGGGCCAGAGTTCTTTAGAGCAGACTGGGCAGGGGGAGAGAGGGAGAACTGGGTTTCTTTGGTTCACCTTGCAGGGCTCGGCTCAGCTCAGCAATCGGATGGGAGCAGAGCTTTCCCTACCCTGCCTGCCAGCTGCTTCCAAATGCAACGAGGCCACACTCATCCCTCCCAGGCCCAGGGCGTAGCAGACTTGGGTTTCAAACAGTCTGAAACCCAAAAGAAGGAATAATCTATCTTAGGCGGTCTCAAAATAAACCGCAGCGCCAAGCGCAGTGAGGCGCACTGCAGTATTGTTGGCTGCTTCCTGCTTTCCTTCCAAAGCAGGCGATTCTTTGCAACGCTTCAGTGCTCGCGTTAAATCAGTGTCCAGACCCAACAGGCAGGTTCCCAGGACCTCTTCTCATTGGAGAATGTGAACAATATGCTAGGTGATTAACATGCGTGTGCTTGCACATGCACACACATACACATACACCATACCACACACATACCACATACATACCACACACACCATACCACACACATACTACACACACACATACACCATACCACATACATACCACACACACACACCATACCACATACACACCACACACACACACACCACACCACACACACACACCACACCACACACATACACCACACACACACATACCACATACACACACCACACACACCATACCACACCACACATACATCACACACACACCACACCACACACACACATACACCATACCACATACACACCACACACACCATACCACACACATACCACATACACACATACCACACCACACACACACACACACCACACACACCACACCACACAAACACACCACACCACCATACCACATACATACCACACACACACACACCACACCACACACACACATACACCACACCACACACACACACACCATACCACATACATACCACACACACACACACCACACACACCATACCACATACATACCACACACACACATACCACACCACACACACACATACACCACACCACACCACACACACATACACCACACCACACACCACACACACACACCACACCACACACACACATACCACACACACACACATACACCATACCACATACATACCACACACACACACCACACACATACCACACCACACACACACATACACCATACCATACACATACCACACACACACACACCACACACACCATACCACATACATACCACACCACACACACACACACATACACCATACCACATACATACCACACACACACACCACACCACACACACACATACACCACACCACACACACACATACCACATACACACACCACACACACACACCATACCACACCACACATACATCACACACACACACTACACACACACACACCACACACCATACCACACACATACCACACACACACACCACACCACACACACACATACACCACACCACACACACACATACCACATACACACACCACACACACACACACACCATACCACACCACACATATATCACACACACACTACACACACACCACACACCATACCACACACATACCACACACACACATCACACACACACACCACACACACACATACCACATACACACACCACACACACATGCTACACACCATACCACACCACACATACATCACACACACCACACACACATACACCACATACATCACACCACACACATCATACCATACCACACATACACCACACACACATCACACCACACACACACACCATACCACACCACACATACATCACACACACACACTACACACACACACACCACACACCATACCACACACATACCACACACACACACCACACCACACACACACATACACCACACCACACACACACATACCACATACACACACCACACACACACACACACACCATACCACACCACACATATATCACACACACACTACACACACACCACACACCATACCACACACATACCACACACACACATCACACACACACACCACACACACACATACCACATACACACACCACACACACATGCTACACACCATACCACACCACACATACATCACACACACCACACACACATACACCACATACATCACACCACACACATCATACCATACCACACATACACCACACACACATCACAACACACACACACATCATACCACACCACACATGCACCACATACACCATACCACACCACACATACACCACATATACATACCACACACACATACATACACACCACACACATGCACACACACATACAGCAGAGCAGACATAAATGTACTCACAAACACAGATACATTCAAATGAGTGCCCACAGAGACACATGCACACAGATACACTCAAGGCAGGAAGAGGCAGCAAGGCCCTGAGATCCTCCAGGGAAGCAGCATCCTTAATGATACATATGATAATTAAAGAATACAATAAACACAATTACCATGCTTTAAACAGTTTGTTAGTGAAGCTCATCAAAAAGTCAGAATAGAGCGCTCTAGGGTGGGTCGGATAACAGCTTCTCATCCTCAGAGTCATAAAATCCCTGACTTGGAAGAAATGGGGCTTCCTAAGCGATGGAATCAGCGAGCATGGATGCAGCAGAAACGGGACCAGCATGGCTGTGTCAGGGGGAGCCGAAGCTAGAAGCTCACTACACAGCTAGTCAGAAAAGAGACGAGTGTGGGACAGAGTGGGCCTGGGGACAGCACCCGGGGAGGGTCACATGACTCTGAGGGATGCAGGATGCTGGTTTGCTCCAGGACTGAGAGAGACTGGCAGAACCAACCAGGTTCAGCTCAAAGCAGAGGCAGGTGAGGCCGTGACTCGAAAGAGGTAATATAGGTTTTACGTCTAACAGGATCTTCAAGTCATGATGGACACTGCCAACAGGCTAGAAGCTTAGATTTCAGCCTGGACATCCCGAGGTAGGATCCGGGACCTACCTTGAGACCACCATCTCTCCACTGTGACAGTCGGGAAGTGTGTGCCCAGACAGGCTACTGGAGAAGGAAGGGCTGCACCAGGAACGAAGTGAAGAGAACTCTGGTCAGATTTAAGCAGCAGGCAGAAAGACAGCTAGCTACAGGGTAGGCATTGGGATGCATCTACGCAGTAAAATTGCAGCTCTATGTGAGTCGGGACTGAACAACACCACCCAAGTGAGCTGCTGCGAAGCCGCCACGGCTCCGCCACGCCCATCTTGTGCCTCTGTGTTCTCATCCTGAAGATGGGGTTGCTGTCTTAATGTTTGTGTTTCCTTCATCTGGAAATCTCCTGGAATTTCAGGTCTGTGGGAGGCAGAGGAGAGCGCAGGGCTGAGGTCTCTTCTGCTTGGGGA